ATCGTAACGTGGTGAAAATCTTATAACATACAAAGTCTAAATGCGATTTGCACATATAACATATTTTGTTGCTTCGTTGTTTGTATAAATCTGAAAATGTACACTTTAGTTCGATGTACATATTGTTCGATTTATGATTTTCTCTCTATGAATGATTCAATTTAGTAAAGTTTGTAGATTTTCTCTATGAATGATTCAATTTACACCTGGTGTCAACTTTCTGAGTTTCTTGTTGTACACAGCATCGACTCTTCAACGGAGATTTTTCAATCTCTAGCATGATTTGATTTGCAATCAGAATCTCAAGTTTATGGGAAAAGAAAAGAAAACAAAGTTGGTTTTCGAGAGGAGTTTTTTTTGTTTTTAACCTATAATTTTGTTTTACTATTTCAGATAGATCCGTCCAAGTACAAGAACATAACTTCAGCTTTCAAGACAACAATCAAAGAACAAGGGCTCAAGAGTTTCACTAGAGGCTGGTCACCGACGCTTATTGGCTACAGTGCCCAAGGAGCCTTTAAATACAGTCTGTATGAGTTCACCAAGAAATACTACTCAGACATTGTTGGACCAGAATACGCAGTCAGATACAAAACCCTCATTTACCTCGCCAGCTCGGCTTCTGCGGAAATCGTCGCTGATGTGGCTCTCTGTCCAATGGAAGCTGTCAAAGTCAGGGTCCAGACACAGCATGGTTTCGCCAGCGGTTTATCTGATGGTTTACCAAAGATCATTAGATCCGAAGGCGTTCGCGGGTTATTCAAAGGGCTTGTTCCTCTCTGGGGACGACAGATTCCATGTAAGTCTCTATCTTCAAGAAAACGTAGTGTCATGAAGATGATGATTTTGGTAAAAAAAAATTGAGCTTTTGGCAGATACAATGATGAAATTTGCTACGTTTGAAAACACTGTGGAGCTCATATACAAGCGAGTGATGCCTACCCCAAAAGAGGAGTGCTCAGAGTTAGTTCAGCTCGGGGTTAGCTTTGCCGGTGGATACATTGCTGGAATTTTCTGCGCTGTTATCTCACATCTTGCAGATAACTTGGTGTCATTCCTCAATAACTCTAAAGGAGCCACCGTTTCTGATGTAAGTGAAACTCTATACAAATCCCTACTTTCACCAGAAAAAAGCTCAGAAATCATCCACTGATATATAGAGCTTATGAATATGTATCTGCTGCTACTGACTTGGTTTTGATTGTTTTACGTGTAACAGGTAGTAAAGAGGCTAGGGTTATTTGGTCTGCTTACCCGTGGCCTTCCACTCCGCATTTTCATGATCGGTACACTCACTGGAGCACAATGGGTTATCTACGATGCTGTCAAAGTTTTAGCTGGATTGTAAGTTTTTCTCACCTGCATTAGAGATATCCTCATCGATACTCAAATCATTCAAGAATCAACATATGAAAAACACTCATCAAATACCTCTGATTTTCTTAGGCCAACCACTGGTGGTGCTTCTCCAGCTACTGCGCTTGCTCCAGCTGTAAGTGCTTAAAATTACAAGAAAATTTTCTTGGAAGCCATCACATTAAAGCAATAAAAGGGAAAGAAAACTCCCTGTTTATTATTCTGATTTTGCTTATACCTTGTAATAAATATATCAAATATGGTATTCCCTACATCTAGCTGTTCTTTTATACATATAACATATGAAAGTCATCGAAAACATCTTTTTACTTTCTAGCATATCTCAGTTTAAAACCAACCAATCCAAGAGGGACTACAATTCTTGAGATGGGTTTAATGGAAAGACTGTGTCGAAAACAACCCTTGCAAATATATGTCTAACTTCTGAAAGGTCGCCAGAAGATAACGAGGAATAATCAATTTTACTGTCTTTCTTGAGCACAAATCCCTTCTGCACATTTTCTTTCACACACTCGAAAATTCTTCTTGCATCTAAGTACAATTGCAACGGTATGAAAAAACCTGTAAAAAATTTATTTTATCAAACATAATTTAATCAAAAAAATAATCTAAAAGATTAATCATGTTTTATTGGAATTAAATTATCTTGATTTTAATTGCCCATAATCGACATACCTATGACCT